CCTTTTCTTTACTTTTTATTATGAAATATATACGGAACAGGTCAATGTAACATACACGCATCACTGAATAAATAATTATAAAGTGAACATCCATATAACCACCGTCCAGCTGCATTAGAGATTCTTGATCAAAAATCTACTGAGGCTTGCATGAGCTTCAGGGAATCTGTGAATTCTCTGAAATTATGTACAAAATTAGGGACTTCATGCCTTTTTCTGAGGGAAAGAGTCTAGAACTTTTCTCAGGGCCTTAAAAGAGTTCCCTTCAAATCGTAAATACTGATTAGAACAATAGGACTAAGATGGCTCTGTGACCTAGAAGCTGTGTAGCCTTAGGCTGGTCTCTTACACTCTCTGAACCTTGAACCTGTAGAATGAAATGATAATTTTTCGTTCTCTCGTGAAGCTATTGTAAGGAACAGCTCATTTGTTATCTGTGAAATGACTTTGTAAACTCTAAAGTATTCTTCCAACTGGTAATTATGGATCTCTGTTAGTCAATGGAAACTTTCTTAGCAAGGTCTTTACAATATCTAAAGAACTGCTAAATTGCTTTCGTTGATCAAGGCTGGTTTAAAAGCCCTAGTCTATCACTATAACCGCTAGTCTGACAACACTCCGATTCCAGACCAGGCCAACCACCTCATCTTCCCGAGCTGCTGCTGAGCTACTGAACGACGCCTGAAGAAAACCACTTAACTTGGCAGGTGGCTTTCACTTCCTATTCATGATCATAACCTTCAGATGAGCATTCATACTGCCCAGCAATGACCTGAAAATGTCTATTAGGCATACTTTTCTACTCTCCTAGATGACTATTTCCTAACAGCCTCTCTCCCACATTACCCACAATTCCACTTCTGACCGAGATGGAATAACAAAGACTGGATTTAACTTTCCCACCAACAACCAGAAAACTGGACAAAATACATAAAGCAACTCATCTCAGACGCTGGAAAACAGACAACACAGGACTGTGATACTTGAGAGAGAGGAAACATATGAGGTTGATTGCCCGAAGTTTCTGGGGAGGCAATTTCCAGATCACAGGAAAGTAAACCTAAATAGAGTCCAGAGACGTAGCTGAGTTGAGGAGAGGGACATCAGCATCCCCAGAGGCTGGGGGAGCTGGGAGTTGAAGAGCAGAGTTTTTTGTTTTTTGGGGTTTTTTTGAGGAAGATTAGCCCTGAGCTAACATCTGCTGCCAATCCTCCTCTTTTTGCTGAGGAAGACTGGCCCTTAGCTCACATCTGTGCCCATCTTCCTCTACTTGATATGTGGGACGCCTACCACAGCATGGCTTGACAAGCAGTGCCATGTCCACACTCGGGATCTGAACCAGTGACGCCCGGGCCGCCAAAGCAGAGCACTGAAGCGGAACATGTGCACTTAACCACTGCACCACCGGGCAGCCCCTGAAGAGCAGAGTTCTGGAAAGGAGGAAGCTGTGCAAAAGAAGAGCTCCATGAATCTGAGTCTTTGCAAGGTCTTTGGCTGTGCATGCATAGACTGAAAATCCACACAGCCCGGCAAAGATCAACCAGGGAGTTGTAGGCTAATAACTCATAGAAGACGGGTAGACATTTGAGCTCTGGCCAGAGCGGAAACCTCAGTGAAAACCTCTGAGCAGTCATTACTTAGTAGTAGGACCAAATTATCCCTGGCATCAAGACTACTCTAGAGTCATCCTAGTAAAGCTGAAAATAGTCCTCAAAGGAGTTGAACTCATCCACAAATAATTTAACCACCTGAAAAAAACAAAGTTAACACTCCTTAAAGGGAGACGACAAAATTCAGACACTTCACAAGGATAACATTCACACTGTCCAACATTCAACAGAAAATCACTAAACATGCTAAAATGCTCAACTCATTTGCTCCTAAGACTTTAGGAAAAAGAAAAATATATACCCCCTCTTTAAAAGTGTGACAGTCCCTGACATCTTAGAGTCACTTAGTCACAGGAATTAAGTCTACAACATTTTTGAAGGTCATCCTTTAGCTTTGAGATAAAAAACATTCAGTAAAATGGAGCTTACTTCCTTTAGTATGACTTCCATCACAATTGGTCAGCTCTATTTATTTATTTTGTGTTAAATTAAATTCACTACCATATGTAGATTTGTAATCTGGTGTTCTGAAACAACATAAAGTCCTCTTTCCCATCTAACAAAACTGAGAATAGTTCATAGAATAGAATACACCAGCTTTTTCTCCAGATAAATATATTCAATTCTTTCCATGTTTTTCTGACAAAATTCTTGTCATTCTCTAGAGGCACTCTAGTTCCCCGGTGTTTCTTTTTAAATTGCTGCCATGTTAAAACTAAGAAAAATTAGTTCTACAAAGACTAGACGTCCAATAAGTCATTGGAGTATGAAATATATTTCATACCTATAGCTAGTCAGGGTCTGTTCTCATGGCAATAACACAGGCTCAAGAGGGAAAGCAGAAATGTGGGGTCTCTTAAAGCCTTGGCTCTGAACTTGGCACACTGTCACTTCCACACATCCCATTGGCCAAAGTCATAAAGCTAAACTCAAAGTCAAAAGTCAAGGAAGGATATTCTACACAAGTCCATGGCAAGGGTGTGCATACAGGGAGGAGTGAAGAATTAGGGCCAATAATTCAGGGTCATACAAAAGGCTAAGTAATGTTTCCAAAGTCACACTATCGTAGGTAGCAGTTAGGGACTGAATTTGGCTGAATGTAGCAGAAAACCTAAATAACAACTGCTTAATGAGAGAGAGGTTTATTTTCTCTGATGTTATGGGAAGTCCAGAGGTAGCCAGTCAAGAAGATTGATATGGCTGCTCTGTGATATCACCAGGAACTCTCCTTTTTAGATTTTTCTTCCATCATCTTTAAGGTGTGGTCCTCATCTTTGTGTCCACAGTAAGCCTGCTGGAACTTCAGCCTGCACATTCTCCTTTCAAGTACAAACAGAAGGGAAGGAGATAGACATAAAATCAAAGTGCTTTCTCTGACACCCTATCCAGTCATTCTACTTACATCTCATTGGCCAGGACCATGTCACAGGCCACTCCCAGCTAAAAGAGGGGTTGACATATCTAGTTTTTTTCCCAGCACAGAATATTGTCATTCACAACATAATCGGGGTTAGTAAGAAAGGAGAAGAAAATTGATGGTAGGTGGGCCGCTAGCAGAATCAGACACACCCAGGAAGTATTTGTGCCAGGATGTGCCCATTAGTTCAAAATTATACTTAACATGATGGCACGACTCTTACCATCTTAAAAAAATTTAATATTCTAATTTATAAGTAATATATGCTCATGAAAGACATTTTGGTAGATATGCTAGAGCATAAAGAAGAAAACAGCCATGATCTCATTGTCCAGATATAATCACTGTGAAAATTTTGCCATATCACTACCTTTTTGTTGTTCTACCTTGTATAGCTACAGTTTCCAAATTGGGCTCAGTCTCTACAAAGAGCTAGGCCCCTCTCCCCATTAGTTTTTTCTTTATTTTGTTTTATAGATAATAAGACAATATATACTCATTATAGGCAATCTAGAAATACCAGAAAAGTATAACGAAATAAAAATAATGACTTAGCCATACTCATATAAGTAATAAATAAAATAAAATCTTACCCTTACTCAGATGCAGACACTGCTAATGATATTGGTGAATTGATTATACATTTTATATATATTATATATGTATGTATATGAATTTGGTTAGGTTTATACTGTATATAAATTTTGCATTTGGCTTTTTAAAAACATAAAACAAACAAGATTTTTATTCACATTATTTTTAATGCCTGCCTAATATTTCACTTTATCAACATTCCTTAAATATCAGGTGTTTAGATTTCCAATGTTTTGCTATTATATATCTTGCTAGTCTAAACATCTATTTTTGCACAAGCTTCATCCACATTTCAGGAAAATTTTCTAGAAGGGGAAAATAAAATCCCTTTGTACTATGACTTGGGTATTTTTGTGTTGATTCATTTCCTAGTAATCTGGGAATGTTTTTAAGCAAAGTATATTCAGTATATTTGTCTTGCAATTTGAGAAAAATCACTGGCAGGAGTCTGTTTAAAAATAAAATTTTGTTGTTTGATGCTCTGCTTCTAATATCAGTTTAATCCTGTTTCATACTTTCACGTCAGTAGGCGAGCCTAACGAACATTATTGTTAAGGGACAAAATCTCATTATCCTAACTCCAGACACGGATGCGTCCTTATCATGTGCTTCTCGAATGTGCAGTTTTCTCCTCTGGCACCTTGGACCATCCTGTTAACAGACCTCCTTTAAACAACAGGTCATGAAACTAAACCGCGATCTTTTTAAAAACTAGAGGCTTTTATAAGAACTCCATTTCTCGATATAACCCCCGGGTTTTCCCGTCCCCTCCGAACTGGCTCCTGCCTCCCGGCTCCCCTCCCCACCTCCTTTTTTAAACGCCGTATAGATTCCCACGCCAGCAAGTTAATACTCCAGTTTAAGAAATCTTGTGTTTGGCACCGTTAACCACTGAGGTTTCTTCTGCCTGCGGTTTGCGTCCTTTTGTGTTTTTGTTTTTGCTTTTGTTTTTTAAGGTTCTCGCCCATCGTTCAGGGACACACTCTCCAGGCGCTGCCCAGCCGAACCTCCCCCTTGGCCCCGCCCATGCCCTTGGCCCCGCCCCTTCGGGCCCCCAGCGTTCGATCTCCATGGTTACACGGCCGACGCGGAGAGCGCCCGGCTGCCCAGAAGGCCCCGGCAAAGACCCCGGGGAAGAATCGTTAGACACGGCTCTAGCTCTCGATTCCGGCCAAGGTCAGCCTCCTCGGGGCTCCGCGCCCTTGAGCCGGAGCTGTGCCCCGCGGGGAGGCGAGCGTGGGGCGGCGGGCAGAGCCGGGGCCGCCGGAGGATCCCGTCCAGCCTCGTTGAGACTTAACTGTCAGTCAGGACTCCTTTCGCGGCGCCGCTGCCGGCCGGAGGCGCCCTGGTGTCAGGTCAGACGTGTGACCCGCACTGCGCCGGCGCCTGCCCGTCTCTGCTCGGCGTCGCTCGTACCCGAGACGGCCAGACCTCCGGAGGCTCAGAGCGTCCGAGAGTGGGCCGGGGAGGGCCTGAGGGGGTCCCTGCGCGGCGCCCGACCGCGCCCGTGCACGCGCACGCAGACACGGACGCGCGGGCCTGCGTTCCCTCAGCGCTTGTGACAAGCTGCTGTTTCAAGCGGTTCACTTTGTCCCACGCTGCTTTAGCCGCTCCGTGTATAGAGCTCGCCTAGTCCTCGCGAAGACTCTAGAAGAAGGAAGTGTCCTGTCTATATTTCAGACGAGGAAACCGCCTCACGGAAGTGAAGCCAATGCCCAAGGTCTCAGCGAGACAGCGGTCGGGTCACGATGGAACCCGGGCAGTCTGGTTCTCCCTGACAAAAAGCCCAGCGCCCCCTGAGCTGAACGCTAGTGATGCCGAGAGTTAGCGTTATGTACCTGGGATTGCCTTTGTTATTCTCTACGTGCGAGGTTCTCCTGTGCTGCTCACTTGCCGATACACAGGAAAATCGGGAATCTCGATAACCATTGAAACCTACCACCTTTTCCTGGTTTACCGTAAATGGAATTAATAAGCAGGAGTTCATTTTTTTCCATGATGCGTAATTCTCATAGTATGTTTTGATTTTTTGCTTTTACGTTTTTAGTCAAGAGTCTAATCTCCAACTTGGATGTGCAGGAAAGACGATTTAGATGATCCAAGCAAGAATTGTCTTCCAAGAGTCTATTATAAAAGGTCATTTAGTGAATGTGGTGGGATAAGCATTTCCTCTTTCAAGCTGCACTCTGCCGCCTACGAAGAGGGTGTGGGGTTGCTCATTTATTCTACTCCCCCCCATACTAGTTAGCCTTTTTTTTTAAGTTTAAAAATATCATGAAGTTAATGTACTTTTGGTGGCCATCATCGTTTAAATAAAGAGGAAATGTCTCAATCATTTGAAGTTCCTATTGCTCTATCGTCAAAATCTTTCGTTTTTATAAATATAGAACTAACTAATGAAAAACAGGAGGGGCCTAGAAACTAATAAACACTAATAAGCTAATAGATAACATTATGACTGTTCACAAATATAATAGTGGAGAAATCTACAGAGAAAAAATAATATATAATATATAAATACGATTTTTAAAAACCAACCATTGTTTTCTTTAGCCAGAATGCCTCCTACTCAGGCAGAAAGTGTTATAAAGAATATCATTCGAGAAATAGGACAAGAATGTGCCGCCCATGGAGAGATTGTTTCTGAAACTCTGGTTGCTTTTATGGTAAGAATGAATATTTTGGTGAATTACTGCTTTATTAAAAAATGTTTTTAAGTGGTGCCCATTTTCCTCCTAAAATTTTGTGAAGCTTTCCTAAATGTTATTCAGTTGGAAGCATATTGAAATCATCAAAGTTAGTGAAGACTGTTTTTTAAAAGTCTGCAAAGCATGTCAGTTCCAGATTTATAGAGACTGATTTAGAAGCTTGATGAGCTTCAGAAACATCAGTAGTGTCCTGTATTGGGGGGGGGGGGGGGTGTTTTTACATGTATTTTTGTTCACTCTTGTAAAAATTACTCGTTGCTTTGGTTTCTCTATTCTTGCTTTTGGTTTAACTAGTCACAATAAAAATACACTAAAATATTCAGTTTCCCAATCTAAAATCTAGCTGTTGCTTTTAACTTATTTCTCCATATAATCTTTCCAGCACCATCTTCAGATTTGATGTCTATTGCTTCCTTTCTTCAACCTCTGGTGAAAGTGCTGATGAGTTGGGTAATAAGAAAATCAGCCGAATAATCAACTCCTGCGTAATCAAGAGGCAGTTGTTTAAAAAATGGAAACATATTAAACTAATTCATAATAATATGAAATAAAATTATTTAATGGGCTCTTTCCTACTCTCAGGTGAAAGCTGTCGTCCTGGATCCAAGCAATGGCTTCAACATGGATAGAACCCTCATCAAAAGTGATGTGCAGAAACTTGTTAAGGTGATTATCCAACACTTCTCAAGGTTTGGATTATTTATTTACAATTCTAAATACAGTATTTGTGTTAGACATTATTGCCTTTAGCTCCCTGAAACAAAAACCCACCAAGTAGTGGGTGCAAACAAATGAGGCACTTACTTTTTCTCATAAAATAAAGTCTGAAGGTAAATAGTCTGCTTTTCCTGGCTTCTTCCTGCATATGGGATACCATCGTGCATATGGCTTTCATCCCATGATCGCAAGATAGTGCCTTCCTCTCTAGGCAGGTATAAGCGGGGTGGGGAGGGATAAAGGCAAAATGTGTGTGCCAGCAGGGTCTGTCACTTTCTATTCTGAAAATAATAGCTTTCCCAGAATCCTTCCCATCTGCTTACATTTATTGACCAGAATGACATTGCAAGTGAGCTTGGGACATTGATTTTTTCCTTCTTTTTTAGCTGAACAAATCTTTGCCCCAATCCAAATTGAGTCTCTGTTAGTAAGGAAGGAGGGGTATGAATACAGGCAGGTAGCAGCGTCTGCCACAGTATTTTAGAGACATCTTGTTATTAATCTAATGTTACATTAAGAACACTATTAATTGACTTGTCATATACTGTAAAATTACATAGTACTAAATTAATATTCAGATAATATTGATTCAATGTAATTTGTGTTTTTTCAATTCCAAAGGGAAAATTGAAGGCAAAGCAAAATAATGCACAGTTAGAAATGAAGTAGGTGTGCCTGAAAACCTGTTTTAAGAACTAAAGAAGGGGGGCTGGCCCCGTGGCCGAGTGGTTAAGTCGTGCTCTGCTTCAGCGGCCCAGGGTTTCGCCAGTTCAGATCCTGGGTGCGGACATGGCACCACTCATCAGGCCCTGCTGAGGCGGCGTCCCACGTAGCAGAGCCAGAGGGACCTACAACTAGAATATATAACTGTGTACTGGGAGGCTTTGGGGAGAAGAAGAAGAAAAAAAGAAGATTGGGAACAGATGTTAGCTCAGGGACAATCTTTAAAAAAAAAAACTAAAGAAGGCAGAAACTTCAGATATTGTTAATTTTTTCTTATATTTTAAGTTTGACTCACTGAATATGGGTGCTTAAATATTTACTTTCTAAATATTCCTAAATCTATTTCCTAAAAATTCAACATTACTTTTTTTCTTCTGGGTTTAATGATTTTAATTCCCTCCTTCACACAAAGGACCTGACGCAAGCTTTCCCAAGCTTGTACATGGTCATTTTCTGGGCTCAAACAAGTGGCAGAGACAATTTTCATCATCCGCCTCTTCTCCCACAGCAGCAGTTCGCATAGTGGGGTGCGGGTCTGTGTGCTGATGCTGGAGGGAGGGGTCAGGAAGAGCGTTGGGAGCTGGAGCCAGGGAGTGTGTCGTAGGATGACTGTGCAGTGGGGACTTCTTGCTTCTCCAGGGCAGCCTAGAGCTGGGTCTTTCTGTGCTGAGTTTAAATGTGGTAAAAGCCTGTTTTTAGCAGTAGAGGAAATGACTGATAATCAGTGAGAAATTTTATTGGAAAGCCATGGAGGAGAACCAAGGAGGGGCAGAATATGTTTTTCTCCTTTTCATGGCTCAAGATGAGTTTTTCTTTTCCCCCTAACTCAACTAAGTTGGAAAGAATTGAGCTCAATATACTTTTAATGTGACAGGTACATTAACTATCAATATATATCATAATTCAAGTGACAAAGATTGTTTCCTTTTTTCTCAATTAAAAACCACGTGGCTGAGCTAATCTTTGTATTTGTAAAGTCTATGTTTAAAACAGTACTTCTCCACCTGTGGGGCCAGGTGCACAGGTTCCATGCAAATGGAGTGTCCAGTGCTCACTCTTGCATTCTCCTCTCCATCCTCCCAGGAAGGCAGGGTTGGGCTCTCAGGGAGGTGGGCTGAGGGTAATGCTGCCAATGTGCCTGCGGCTGCAGATATAAAGCCTAAGGGGTGAGACAGGGAAGAGAGGGGTTGGGTGGTGGAGAGGAGAGAAGAAAAGAAAAATTCAGATTGATCATCTAATCTAAAGGGGCAAAGGAGAGAGGGGAATGAGCCATTACTGAGGGGGCGGGGGAAAGGGGAATAGGAGAAAACAGACAGAGGATGAAATTTTGAAACAGAAGGCAGGGCCAGAGAAATTTTGTGAGCAGAGGAGAGTAGCTGCAGCAATTTTTTATAAAATGCATGTTACCTCCAGCATCAGCAAAGGAGTGTTGTTTGAGGCTCAAATAAATAGTAATGAGGAGCTGTAGAAAAGCTCTAGGCAGGAGCAAGAGCTTTGTGGAACATTTACCCACATTCAGACTGCATAGACCAACCAAAATGTCAAGTTTCTTGTCTTCAACTAGACTTTTAGCCACCTGGATGTGGTGATATTGGTTACTTAGGGGAAATAACTTATTCCTTAATAAGTGGTGTTGGTTGGGTAAACTATAAAGAGTGAAGTCCTCAAAGAGAAAAATAATAATAAAAGGCATTATTGGTAGGTAAATATCAGAAACTATTGCTTTGATGTTTCCCTTTATTTTTCAAAATAACTTTAGGAAATACTTCTAAGTGTTTCAGAAAATATAACTAGAAGTACTCATGGGATATTCTTTCCTAGCATTGTGTGACTCGGCTCTTGGATAATAAAAATCCATCCCTGGACACCATTAAGATGCAAGTCTACTTTGATATGAATTATACAAGTCGAGGTAACATATGTCTACCTATGTTGATACCCTTTTTAAAGAGAGTCATATTTCAGGTAATAAAGACTTCATTTGGTTGATAATGGAAAATTTAATTCTTTTGTCTATCTTTTGAAATTGTTTCCAACTTTGGAGAATATAATAGTGTTGGAAATGCTAAATGAGAAAAACACCAATGGCCTTTGTGAGTGTTAAAAGTAAATTCTGATTATTAGACCCATAATAATTGTGTTTCCAAGTTTATTGTGTTTTAACTGTTATACTACTAATACATAATAATTAGAAATTAAAACAACCAGCCCATTGAAGTTAGAAGTTTTTAATTTGTTGATTTTTTTGTTTCTGGTTTATGTTATTGTCTCATAATGTCTCAAATTATGTAACTTCCCCAAACTGAAGTGAATAATGGGAAATTTAAGTTTAGAACATATTTTCTTATGTATATAGTTTAATGCACGCATCAAAGACAAACTGGAAACCTGAAAAAGGAAATAAATTCCTCTATGGACTAGACTGCCTCTGCACTACGGAAATGCAACCATTATTAACCATTGGTGATTTTTGTTGTATTTTCTTTTTTCCCCTCTGTGTATTGAGCTTTCACTTATGCTACATACATAAAATCACATATCTTGCTTTTTTGCTTAATAATCAAATTTCAGAGTAATAAATATCAGGGAATTAATGACATTGTAATTTAGATTTTTCTTAATTTGCAAACATTTCAAGTTGTTTTTGTGATAAGATTATAGATATGACTTGTGCATGGTTGATATGTTGGTTATTGCCCTTGTAATAGTAAAATAGGATGTCTTATTGAATTAGTTGCAAGAATTGTACTGCTGGTGAATTGTGGCTCCTGCACAAGTAAGCCTAGAACTTATCATGTCACAGGAAGAAGAGAGAAAGATACACTTTTTTTTTTTCTTTGGGGAAGGTTGGCCCTGAGCTAACATCTATTGCCAATCTTCCTCTTTTTGTTTGAGGAAGATTGTCCCTGAGCTAAAATCTTCCTAGTCTTCCTCTGTTTTGTATGTGGGATGCTGCCACAGCATGGCTTGATGAGCAGTATGTAGGTCCGTGCTTGTGATCTGAACCCATGAACCATGGGCTGCCAAAGCAGAGCACACAAACTTAACCACTATGCCACTGGGCTGGCCCCAAAAGATACACTTCTTGATGCAATTCGTGTTATCAGTAATACTATTCAAAAGAAATGTATCTAGAGCTAAAATAGAAATACATGTAATTGAACAGGAATATTTACACTATGTATATGCATATTATATGTGCTTACATGTAGTATACTACATGTACTTACATATAGCATACATGTATGTATATAGAACATGTATTTATACCGTATATATTTACAATATATATTATAAATTATCTTGTATACTTTCTGCTTAATTGGGATATTTTAGCCCTGATATTTCTGTTTGGATTGTCTGCTTAAAGTCATACGTGTTTTGACAAAGTGTGCCATTTACATCACTGTCATAAATCTTTCCCATTAAATTTTTGTCTCGAGGTTACTTGCTGGCCACTGTTTTTTATTTTGACTGTAACATGTTAATAAAATACTTGTTTTTATGCAGTAGGATGCTATACCCAAGCTATTTTTTCTCTTGTCCTGCTTTCTTATGTGAGAAGAATTCTAAATGTCAAAATATATGGAATATTGTCCTTTGCCAATTTTAGAGGAATTTCTTGAAGAGCATCACCGAGTTCTGGAGTCTAGATTAGGCTCTGTTATGAGAGAAATTACAGACAACAGAGCATGTGCTAGAGAAGAATTGGAAAGCCTCTACCGAAAGATCGTCAGCTATGTGTTACTGCGCTCTGGGCTCGGATCCCCCACAGATATCAAGATTGTCAGAGAGGCAACAGGTAACAAGTAGACATGATTTCCATTCCATAATGAAAATATATGAACATTGTGGCTTATACAATGTGTTAAATTACAAGTGTTGATGAAGTTTCATTTTTATCTGAAAAAAAAAATCAGCACAAATAAGAGGTTAAAACTTACCCAGACTCCTTTTACACTGTGTATCAACTCTAAACCTCAAGTAGCACCTCTGGAATGTGAATATTGTTAGCTTTCTTAGAGCCATGTGTCTCCGGGGGCCTGTTACTTCTCATTAGAGAAACACTGGCAGTATGATTAAGAGTACCCAGAGTGGGTAATGAGGACTGCTGGAAGGGAGTTTCATATTGATGAAAGGAATTGTCTCGCCTAAATGGATGATGGAAAAGGACACCATTTTATCTTCAGGAGATACTTGCCACTTTAATACTTTAAGATAAGGAATAGGCAAGATCTCTAACCTTCCTATGGCTTTCTTCCATAATTATTTTAAAGCATCAGTTTTTCTACTCAGAGCCCTAATTAGAAAGCTTGTTTTAATGACCATTGCCAAAAAATTACTGATGGGTGCTTAATTATTGAAATTAATTAATTATAATTATTAATTTATTGAAATTAATTTCAGTAGCCCAGCTTTGGCATGTGATCAATTTTGCTGTGTATTCTGTAATCAGGTATCAGAAGTGTAAAGAATCATAGAAGTAACTATGAAGACCGGCCTCGACTTTGTGCTGAAAGAAACATGATTTAAATTCTGATATCTTTATGCTATCATTTTGTTGTCATTTTTGTGGTTGGTTTTAGCTGCCCTACAGAGTGTGTTTCCTCAGGCTGAGCTTGGGACATTTCTAACTCTGTCTAAGAAGGACAAAGAACGCCAGCTGAAAGAACTCACCATGATTGTTACTGGAATTCGTTTATTTAACCGAGACTGTGGAAAGGGAGGAGAAGGCATTGATGACCGTAGGTATATCGTTAGGTTAATTCTATAGATTATGCAGGTTTAAAATTTAACTTGCATGTGAAGAAAATAACACCCAGTACACCACTGGCATTTTTAGATTTAAGATTTGTGGTTTTGATTATACCTTAGGTAATGTTCATAATGTATAGTGATTTTTTTTTTTTTTGAGGAAGATTAGTCCTGAGCTAACTACTGCCAATCCTCCTCTTTTTGCTGAGGAAGACTGACCCTGAGCTAACATCCATGCCCATCTTCCTCCACTTTATACGTGGGATGTGTACCACAGCATGGCTTTTCCCAAGCGGTGCCATGTCCACACCCAGGATCCGAACCAGCAAACTCCGGGGCCGCCGAGAAGCAGAACGTGTGAACTTAACCACTGCGCCACCAGGCCGGCCCCTGTATAGTGATTTTTAGTTTTGCTAGGGCAAGACTTTAAGTTTTGTGTACTGTGAAGCTAGTTTGGGAGAATGAATCAGTGAAAGAAGTGAGGGGGCCTGCCCGGAGGTCAACCTCCCCAATTCCCTGGGGCTTTGTGTGCTTTACTCCAAATCAGATAACCAAAGGGAATAAAACTCCGTGATTTAGAAAATAAAAAGCCTCCTGAGAGCAGTTGCTGATGCGGTTAGTGGAATGAAGAGGTCCGGGAGGAGCTGTCTGCAGATCTGTGAATTCAGGAGCCTTGGCTGTGCTGTTATATACTTACTCCTTTCCCTACCTGAAGTTTGAGAGTGCTCGTGAACTATCTGGTCAAGGACCTACCAGTAGAAGTTGCTTCCTCGTGGACTGGGTGCGCATATAGGCCCACCGATAAGGGGTTAGTTAGTGGCTTCTACCAGATCACTGATCTGGGACACTAGGGTAATTTTTTGCCTTTTAAAAGCTGTTCTAAAAAGTCAAATTCCCGTTCTTCCTAAAGTTCCCTATCTTCCTAGACTATTCTGTTATTTTTCAGTATCCCAGTCAGTTTCTCAAGTTGCACACCCTTTTTTCTTTTTTACGAATAGAAAAGAAGACATACAGAAGGAGAGGGGGAGTGGTCTTTGCAGAGGCGCTCGGTCAGTGGCACAGGATACCAAACCTATTCTTTAGACTCTTCTTTCTTTTAGTGGCAAAAGCTGATCTGCTCTAACTTTTGGTTGTCCTTCTGACAATAGCTTTTGTTTGGACAGGTGTTTTTTTCATTCTTCAAGGTGTGGGAGCTGTGAAATACATGCCTCATTATTATTTATTTGGCTGAGAAAAAAAAACCTACTCAATGTTCAAAATATGACCACTTTCTAGGCTTTCTTCTTAATTCTTTTTAGATTCCTTCATGTCTTTCTTAATATGCCTTTTAAACCAGTGCCAGCTATTCTCCATGAAGCGATCCCAGCCACCACTCAGCATATTGACTCCCAACTTCAGATTGCCCAGGAGCAGGCATACCGCTACACAGCCATCCTTGAGAAAGTCAGACAGAACCCGCTCATGAGTGTGCAACTTCAGCCGTATATGTTAAAAGAGGCACTGTATAATGTGCGACAATATGAGATCTTCCTTCAGATCATCTTGGTGAGCTAATGTCATAAGATCTGGGCTTTTCCATAGAATGCAGCTTCTTCATGTATTATGGGGCTAAAACCAAAGGTAGAATGAGGTCATTGATAAAGGAGACGACCTTAATAACTGCACAGTTTCTATTGCATCTGTAGGAACTAAAATAGAAGTGGGGAAGTTGGATTTTGATTTTAATATATTGATTTTCTAGTTGTTTATTCTCTTTGGCGCTCCATCGCATGATTGTTGTTAAGCAGTGGGATGTGTGTATAGGTAAGTAATACTGCATTGTTTGTTTTAATTCAGAGCAAGTGTCTAACATGTTGTTTGGCAGGTAGTTGGCACTCAAATAATTTTTATGTAATTGTTCTTACTGTAAAAACTGGCAGAAAAGATTTTTATTTCTGATGTTTTTAGATCTAATGAGCAAGCCAAACAATATCCCCAGAGTTGGAAAATATGGTAAAGTGGTGATTTTAAACGTTTTTTCAGCAACAGAGCACTTTCATTCAGTTGGAAACTTACTCAGAATCCTAAAAGTATAAGACAGATATTTAGATGGAAAGATTGGAAGACCTTTTCACCAAGGAGCATCCCCATGCCACCCTAGGGTTCCAGGGAATACTGTTTAACTACATCATGACAGCAAGCTATGTTCCCCCTGGTCACTGGTTTTTTCCCCCCAGCTTTATTGAGGTATAATTAACAAGTAAAGTTGTAAGATGTTCGAAGTGTACAATGTGATGATTTCATGTACCTACACATTGTGACAGGATTCCCCCGAGTTAATTGACACTTCCATCCTGTGGGTCACTGTTTACCTTTACACAGCCTCTGCTTTCCAACAACCATGATACTCAGAATCAGTGGAGCCATCTTTTGTATGTGTGAATACTAAGGTCTTGAGGGGTAGAATAAGATGTATTCTGGTCATCTCTTCTTTTTAACTTGTATCTTAATGGCTTGATACTACTTTCGAATGTACTTGATCTGTCTTCTCTCCTTACCTCCACTGTGGAGAATAGGAAGATAAACATCCAGGTGACATGACTTCATTGCAACAAACTAGGAGTGGTCCTTACAACTGACCTACTATCTAATTGCCTTCAGAAGGGAGACTCTTAATCAACTATTCCAAACCAAATCATTCTTTAGGGTAGATGTTCCCCTAACATTGACTTGTGGCTATCAACCTTGTGTAACTAGACACATACTAAGGATTTTTTACGTCAGTTTATCTTGAAGTGCGTACAGGTCCACAGGAATATGACCTTGCATTCACTTTTGTCATCTGCGTTCAGAAGGGATATCATCATATGGTATCTTTTCACAGCTTGTAATTGTGAATCATAGTCAAACAACTAACTGACAGTCTGAAATTCTCACTGGAGTTCTCACTCTTAGAGCTAGACGGACAATGAGTAGAGTGTGTAAGTGATGAGTGTGGGCTCTGCAGCCAGACTGCGTGGGTTCTAATCCTGACTTTGCTACTTACTAAATCTGTCTTTGAGGAAGTTGCCTAACTTCGCTGTGCCTTGGTTTCCACATCTGTAAAATGGGGTTATTGATAGTCTCCACTATGTAAATAAGGGAGAACAGTGCCTGGCACATAGAGCTCAATAAATTGATGATGATGATGATGACAACGATGATGATCCTGCTTCCACCAGTGATGTTTATTATTACCATCATTATCATTGTGAGAGCTTTACCAGAACAGCTCTGATTTCATTTTGGTAGAGGCACAAACTGGAGAGTTCTTATTTTTCTAGATAATATCTTATTTCCAAGGCCTTTGCTGCTCATATTATTGAGAAAGGTAACTCTGATCTTAGCACTCATCGTGACTAGTTCATACTAATTCCAGTCAGGGTCAAGATGAGTTCTCTTAATTTTCTGACATTTTGCTGCTTAATCAGAGTTTCTTTTTTTGTTGTGTTTTTTAACTATTCAGTCTTCCTGCGTGGATCTACCTTAGTTATGGTTAAGGTTGAGTATTACAGAATCGATATTAGTTTAATCAGTATTATCTCTAGGTTATAAAATATGGCAATTTTTGTTTAGCTCAGAGTTTTTCTTATCTGTGAAGTCTATGGATAGTCTTAAAAATTTTTTTACATTATCTGAACAGATATTAATATAATTTTTTGAAGTATTGATTTGAATTTAAAAATTTCTTCTTTTGCCAATGCTACATTCTGTTTATGCAAACATTTGGAAAATCCACTTATCGCCTGGGTAAGATAGTAAGTTATTTTCTTTTCTTTTGATCAAGACATTATCTGCTGCAGTCAACAAATTCAGATATTCTGGAAGAAAAAAGGCGGGGTGATCACAGTCCTGATGGCAGTCTTAGCTGAGAGAACAGAATTCCATCCTCTGTAGGCTGTTGAAGTGCAAGGCAGTCACCAAAGAGAGAAAGCTGCTTATTGTTACTGTGCAAATAAAAGTAGACACAGAACATTTCCTAAAATGTTTAAGTCAAGACTTTTGTAGACTTCCTCCCCCGAGCTCTGTTTGCAGGGCTCATTCACAGAATAGACAACACAGGACTTCCTGATTTTTCCTGATACTGCAAGTAAAAAATCAGTTAGGTGGAATCTGTGTCTTTTTTAGACTTGTTGAAAGACATCCATGGAAGAAAATATGAGGAACTCATAAACTGAAAAGGGAGAGGGGAGGACAAGCAGCATGCTGGGATCACAGGCTTTCCCCAAGCAGTTTTTGACTGCATTATGAAAAAAACTTTTTTTTTTTGAGGAAGATTAGCCCTGAGCTAACTGCTGCCAATCATCGTCTTTTTGCTGAGGAAGACTGGCCCTGAGCTAATATCCATGCCCATCTCCTCTACTTTATATGTGGGATGTCTGCCACAGCATGGCTTTTGCCAAGTGGTGCCATGTCCACACCTGGAATCTGAACTGGTGAACCCCGGGCTGCCAAGAAGCAGAACGTGCAAACTTAACCGCTGCATCACCAGCCAGCCCCATGAAAAAAACTTTTTAAGTGATAGCAGGCATTCCTAGAGGACTAACTTTATTATTTTTTTCACCAACAATCTCATTAGAAATATCTTTTTAAGTATCAGGATGCTGTCAAGTTCATGGTGGCAGATACATGTTTTTCAAAATGTGGATTTTATCATTGGCAACAAAAACTATTGTTTTCCTGGAGTGACAGACTTGTTTCATCCACACTAAAGAAAATATCTGCCAAATAGCTAACACTCAAAAATCATAGTTTTTCAGTTGTTATTTCAAGTAAAAGTGGTGTTCTGTTGTTGGAGGGGAGAAGCTAGTTCAGTTTGCAATTCAATCATGTAAATATTTTCCTCAAAAGAACTACCCATTTTAATATGCAGTAGAAGAATTTTATATGTACTTTCCATTTTATCACACTGAGTATTAGAAAGCTGTGTACTTAAGGATCAAGATTTAATAAAATTAATACCTTTTACTGCATCATCATAGCTACTGTTAAGTGAAACTGGATTTTTAAAAATTGACGTGTAACTGACATATGACATTAATTAGTTTCAGGTGTACAACATAATAATTTGATACATGTATATATTGCAAAATGATCACTACAATAAGTCTAGTTAACATCCTTAACCTCACATAGTTACAAATTTTGTTTTTCTTGTGATGAGGACTTTTAAGATCTACTCTCTTAGTAACTTTCAAATATACAATACAGTATTGTTTACTATAGTCACCATGCTGTACATTACACCCCCAGGACTTGTTTATCTTATAACTGGAGGTTTGTACCTTCTGACCCCCTTCACCCGTTTCACCCACCCCCTCTTCCCCTGCCTCTTTCAACTACCATTCTATTCTCTGTATCTGTGAGCTCAGTTTTTAAAAAAATTTTTAAGATTCCACATGTAAGTAAGATAACACAATATTTGTCTTTCTCTGTTTGACTTATTTCACTTAGCTTGATGCCTTCAAGGTGCATTCATGTTGTCACAAATGGCAGGATTTCCTTCTTTTTTATGGCTGAATAATATTCTGTTGTGCTTACACGCTACATTTTCTTTATCTGTTCATCCGGTGATGGAGACTTAGGTTGTTTCCATGTCTTGACTATTGTGAATAATGCTGCAGTGAACATGGGGGTGCAGATATCTTTTCTCATGAGTGTTTTAATTTCCTTTGGATAAATACTCAGGAGTGGAATTTCTAGGTCATATGGTAGTTCTATTTTTAATTTTTTGAGGCACCTCCATGCTGTTTTATATAGTGGCTGTACGAATTTACATTTCCACCAACAGTGCACAAGGATTCCCTTTTCTCCACATCCTCGCCAAAACTTATTTTTTGTCTTTTTGATATTAGCCATTCTCACAGGTGTAAGGTGATATCTCATTATGGTTTTGCTTTGTATTTCTCTCATGATTTGTGATGTTGATCACTTTTTCACATACCTGTTGGCTATCTGTATGTCTTCTTTGGAAAAATGTCTATTCAGATCCTTTGCCCATTTTTTAATTGGATTGTTTGGGATTTTTTGCTATTGAGTTGTGTGGGTTCTTTATATATTTTGGACGTTAATCTCTTATCAGATACTGTATAATTTACAATATTTTCTCCCATTCAGTAGGTTGCCTTTTAATTTTGTTGATGGTTTCCTTTGCTGTGCAGAAGCTTTTTAGTTTGATGTAATCCCGTTTGTTTATTTTTGCTTCCGTTACCTTTGCTTTTGGTATCAAATCCAAAAAATCATCACCAAGACTGATGTCAAGGAGCTTACCACCTATGTTTTCTTCTAGAACTTTTATGGGTTCAAGTCTTATGTTCAAGTCTTTAATCCATTTTGAGTTGATTTTTGCGTATGGTGTAAGATAGTAGTCCAGTTTAATTCTTTTGCATGTGGCCATCTAGTTTTTCCAACATCGTTTATTGGAGAGACTGACCTTCCCCACTGTATATTCTTTATTTTACTCCTTTGTCATAAATTATTGACCTTACAGGTGTGGGTTTATTTCGGGGCTCTCTATTCTGTTTCGTTGATCGATGTGTCTCTTTTGATGCCAGTACAGTGCTGTATTGATTACTATAGCTTTAAAATATGGTTTGAAATCAGGAAGTGCGAAGTCTTCATCTTTGTTCTTCTTTCTCAAGATTGCTTTGGCTTTTTGGAGTCTTTTGTGGTTCCATACAAATTTTAGGATTGTTTGTTCTCTTTCCTTGAAAAATGCCACTGGGATTTTGATAGGGATTGCATTGAATCTAGACTGCTTTGGGTAGTATGGACTTTTTAACAGTATTCGTTCTTCCAATCCGTGAACGGGGAATATCTTGCCATTTATTTGTGAGGTCTAACTTCACAGCTAGAATTCTACATAGTTGTGAACAAGTTCTTTTTGGTAAAATTAAACAGAATGATTACTTTAGGACATTATCAGAAAAAAATCAAGAAGTTCTGCATGCCTACTCTGTGAATGGATCCTGCAAACAAGCTTGGGAAGGAAGTCTAGAGTATCTTCAGTTCTAGGTTTTAAGAAGTGTTCTGTCTTGAATGTAACTTTTACTTTGGAGAACATATGCAGATTTATTTCTGTTTCTTGTTGCTGTTGCACAAATCAAAAAAGACTTTAAGGACTGCATTTTCATATTTGATTCCTAAAGGAAAACTAACAAGGGGGAAAAATAGTCTGTGGAGTAGACAAGAGACCTACTAGGTAGGATAGATAGTATTATATGGAAAAGTAAAGCAAGAGGAGGGGAGATGCTGAAAGAGTAGAATGGATACGATCAAAACAGGATGCACATTGAATAAAAAGTTTTATTAGTTGAAATACAGTAGTAATATTTGCTGTTTCTTATGAAGTAATTATTTTCGTCATTTAAAAATAGTCTAGTAAAGCATATAATTAGGCTACAGATACTGAGAACTCGAATGCACTTTTTTTCTCTTCAAATAGATATCACAGTTTTACACTGTACTGATAAACCCAGACCATTGTAATTTCTGGTCACATCTTAGGCAGTGCACATACTGGGTAAGAGCTGGGCTCTGTCCTCAGTTGGTCTGGGTAGAACCATGATTCTGCCCCTTCTTAGCTGTATATCCTTGGGCAATTTACTTACCTTCTGTAGCTTGGTTTTCTTATTTGTAGTTAATGCTTTTTGTACTTGTGTTTCATATGGTGCTTAGCACATAGTATGAATAAATGCTAGTGATTATTTCAGATTCAGCATTTAGCACTTTATTTTCGGATTACTATTGTTGTATCAGAAATATGCTGTGTTTTTTCAATCCTTAGTTTCTAAGATTTTCTTCATTTTTTTTCACTTAGAAACATTTGCCCTGAGTTAACATTTGTTGCCATTCTCCCTCTTTTTTATGACTGAGGAAGATTGCCCCTGAGCTAGCATCTATGCCAGTCTTCCTCTATTTTGTATGTGGGTCGCCACCACAGCATGGCGATGAGTGGGGTGGGTCTGAATCCAGGATCTGAACCTATGAACCTGGGCTGCCGAAGCAGAGCACATAAAACTTAACCATACGCCTCAGGGCTGGCCCCCAGATTTTCTTCATTTTTGAATGTAATTTTTAAAAATCTTGGCATCAAAATAGTTTTCAGAGGAACACTTCATTAATTGTATCATGAGGAATGGGAAAATAACAGCTATACAAAGTTGTGTCATAGGATTCACCTCTCGGGAATGCAATTATGCTGGATATCAAAGAATACTTTTATACATTTGACAAAAATTATAGCCATTGTGTTTCAAAAGGTTCATCCGTCCAACAGATACTTCTGGAACACCCTCCATGTGTCAGTGCTGTTCTTGGTCTCGGGGTGCCACGCAGGACACACTCTCTGCCCTCACTGAGCTTACCTTCAAGAGATGTAGGGGGCAGGTGGGGTTTAAAACACAGAAGGTTTTTGTAGTGAAATTATAAAAATATTAATGCAAATTATATTGTCTTCACAGTCAGATATAATTACTTGTGCTCAAGAAGTGGAAATGATGATAAAGAAGTTAGGAGCCCAGCTGGAACAATTAAAAATGATTGTAAAATCAAAGACAGCTGTCCCGACATCACAAGTCTTTGTAAGTATTTGTCATTAACTTCGACCTTGTTTAAGGGCAAATGTACTTTTGAGTTCTATAAAATTGAATTGGAAGTAATTATAATTATTAACTATCAAGTACTAAAACTATATTAATTTTATACAAATTGATCCTGTTTTTTATGGTTATTTTATAGTAATAGTATATTATAAGTTGAATGAGAGGATTCCTTTGGTAGGTGATTGTTACTTTGTTGCTTATGGCAACAAAAATAATCCATAGGGTGATTGTTACTGAAGTGTTGCCTATGGCAACAAAAATAATCCATGGGGGGCTGGCCCAGTGGCACAGTGGTTAAGTTTGCATGTGCTGCTTGGCAGCCTGGGGTTCGCAAGTTCAGATCCTGGGCACAGACCTACACACCACTCGTCAAGCCACGCTGTGGCAGTGTCCCATATACAAAGTAAAGGAAGATTGGCACAGATGTTAGCTCAGGGACCATCTTTCTCAAGCAAAAAGAGGAAGATTGGCAATAGATGTTAGCTTAGGGCCCATCTTCCTCACCAAAAAAAAAAAAAAAAAAAACCAAAGTAAAAGAAAAAAAGTAATCCATAGTGCAGTGTTGAAAATGTGTTCACAGTAGCTAGTTAGAAATTACCTCCAGCAAAGAGGTGCTATAACTTGTAACCTTTCTGCAAAGATAGATAATAATCACTTTGTTTACCAGGCCTATACTTACACTGACTTTCTGATTATCTGTACCACTTTATGGGCAAATCTGGTAGCCCCAAAGAGGTATAAGATGCATATGCAGTATTTTATAGAGCATTTTGAGGCTCTCATAATTTTCTGTAATCATTCTCAATACTTCATTTTAAAAACCAAGAAACAAAAAGCTAAGTTGTTTAATTTATAAGTAGGGCCTGATTAATTTTTTTGTTTGTTCTGTAAGTTAGTGAACTTTTATATGAATAAAAAACATTTATCTCACTGACCAAAGATCTTTCACCTGCAGCTCACGAGGCATGCCCCAATTAGCGTCTCTACACTTTCCAGATTTTTGAGTCAAGATTAAGGAAGACAAATCTAGTTATAATAAGTCATATTTAGCTTTTTTGGAAAAAGAGGATATTTTCTCCTTGATATTTTTTTTTTTTTTAAGATTTTATTTTTTCCTTTTTCTCCTCAAAGCCCCCCGGTACATAGTTGTATATTCTTCGTTGTGGGTCCTTCTAGTTGTGGCATGTGGGACGCTGCCTCAGCATGGTCTGATGAGCAGTGCCATGTCCGCGCCCAGGATTCGAACCAACGAAACACTGGGCCGCCCGCAGCAGAGTGCGTGAACTTAACCACTCAGCCACAGGGCCAGCCCCTTCTCCTTGATCTTTTGAGGTGAAGCGTCCATGAATCTTTCTTAGCTGATCAAGTGTGTGTGGCTTTTTTGAGTAAATTAATTTTATGACAATCATCCCCAAATAAAATGCTTTGAAATAAAATGCAAGTTTATTTTCTCATAATTTTGGAGTCCAATTTCTCTCTAGATTCTATTATCTAACTTCGTGAGACTTTCACTTGTCTTAAGGAAGAATTAATTTCTGTATAAATGAAAAGTTGTATTTATTTTTGAGAGTACAAGGATCTATAGTTTTATTAAACAGTTAATGTTTTGCACATTGTTTTCTCTTCTGCAGCCCATCTTCATTGCACTTTCCAATCTGTGGACCAGCTTTCAGGATGAAACGGTTTTGATTAGTGTCCTCAGTAATTTAACTAGTCACCTGGAGGCATTTCTGGGTGCTCATGAACTACTTTTTCCTGAGAAAGTACTGCGAGGTCTTCTTGATGGAGTGACTGTGAAAACTGATGTGTTTAGAATGAGAGAACAGATGGGTAATAGGAATCATCCATTATTTCCTCTTGCTTTTAAAATTCCCTTTGGAATAAAGTCACTCTTTCGTTTTAACCTTTTCACGTTATATCTTTCTGATAAAATAGTATCTTTTTTGATTACAAAAGTACTAATGGTCATTATAGAAAATGTGGAAAACTGAAAATATGTAACCTGAATATTTTACTATCCAGCAATAACCATTTCTAATGTTATTGTTAGTATTTTGGCCAACAATGGTTGTCTGTGGTTTTGTGTTTGTGTTGTAGTCTTACTGATTTTATTATTGATTTTTAGTAGAAAAGGATACTAATCCTTGCTATAGTTATTTCAAATAAAGCTCCTTTTCTTTGAAATATTTGCCATGTATCTACCTCATATTCAGGTTGAAATTTGTAAATAAATCAATTTTATCCCTGTAAAATTGAGCTTATTTTAGGCCCTTTAAGAGGGTATTCTTATAGGAAGTCTGTCTTTATCGATAACCTTCTTTTAACGTTTTTGGTCCCTTCTATCTTAGTTAAAGACAACTTAAAATTCATGAGAAATGCCAAAGTAGAGTCTGGGACTTGAGTTATTGCCTAAAAAGAAAGTTTTTCCAGAAAATAGATAATTTACTCTCTAAATTTCCTTTTCAAATTTGATTTTTGTAAAAGTGAAAAATAAAAGTGTAGTGGTAATTTCCATTCTTAAACTAGTAAAATACATAAAATCTGGAAACCAAATCAAAGAGACTCAAAAGTATCCTTCCAGTTAAAGTTTTTCCTATTCATTTTTCTTTTCATTAAAACAGCATGTCTAAGTAGATAGTAGCTCAACCGTATGGGCAAAACAGTTTACTTGCACCTGGTTTAGACATGTCATTTCCCACCATATATCAAAACTTTTTATGCACCAGAACACTATTTATCAAGTGACTGCACCGGTGAATGGGGAGACCTAATGTTCTTTTGAAAGAATTTAATTTACACTTGCCACATCTCATCACTGTTTGGGGCTTTCAGGCTTATCAGGAAAAACGAAGGAAGGTTTATTTTCTCCAAATTATGCATTTACTTCTGGTTGTAGCCACAACGTCGCTGTGTATCTACTGTTTGTATGTAGAGGCAGGCAGAGAAGTGTAGGTAGGATTGCAAAAGCTACGAATCTTGGGGATCAATGTTTTATAAATGCACGTTTTTATTTGTGTAAAAAAATTTAGTCAATTTAACTATCAAATGTAAATAGATCAACCAACACTTGGAAGAATTTTTTGAAAGTGTAAAGAACAAAGATTGTACATCTTGTTATCAAAATTAGGTTACTAAGAGATATTTCCTGACTCTTTCTGCTCAGAACGTTCTCAACTGACTCAGAAGCAGTAGTGTCAGTATATAAGCACCGTATTCAGAGTCTTTTGCCAGCTAGTAGAAAGAGCTGCGCCATCTTGAATGAAGTTGATCTGTCTCTATTTTAGTCACATAGCAGCCACTCTCTTCCGCTTATTTCCTTCCGTTGTTTACTCTTCTCATTGAATAAGTTTTTCTTATTTTCCTTTTCATTTTAGAAGATAGAGTAAATGCAGAGGATTTCAGAAAACTGGAATGGCTTTTCCCAGAAACAACAGCAAATTTTGATAAATTGTTACTTCAGTATCGGGGATTTTGTGCTTACACATTTGCTACAACAGATGGTCTTCTCCTTCCAGGTATAGGGTTGTAAATAATATTACTCCCACTTCCCCATTTTTTCTTTAAATGAAGTGCTGTCATTGTCATTTATTCATTTTTTAAAACTTCATGGGATCTGATGGTGAGCAATGAAAGGAGCTACAAAGATGATTCAGACAAAGTCTTCATCTTTGAGGTGCTCACAGTATAATCTGGTAGACTGAAATAAACAAGAAATTATAGTACAGATGATAAGTGATGGAATGCGTATATAATGAAACATGGATGCTACAATGTCGTAAAAGAGGGCCGACTCATATGCCCAGTGAAGGATTCCAGAAATGTTAGATGGCATTACTAAAATATATCATCTTCAAAGTAATTACTTGAAAGAGCAACACTAATTTGACTGAGATGTTTATTAAAAAAAATTCTTTGTCACTTTATGGTTATATTCTATTAACATAGATCAGGATTTCTGTGTAAGTCAGATGCCTCTAAAGATATGGCCAGTATTTTATCAAGTACAATTTTTTATGATGTATTTATTACTAGAGCATCTCCAAAACAAAGAGTGAATCAGAAATTATGATGAAATAAATTATTATCCAAAAAGTGCCTTGTGAATTGGGAATAACAAGAAGTCAGTTAGAGCTAGAATGAAAACAGTTTGATGACATTGTTTTTTTGTTTGCCTTACACCCTTAACCTCCTTCCTTTTCTTCCCTCTTTGTTATTTCTTTTGTTGTGTTTCACAGTTGGGTGGTACTTTTTTATTCCAAAGAATGATTGAGATTGTGTGTATATACAGGCTAGAGAATATACAAATTGACTCATTTTTTATGGTATTAGATTTTTTCATAATGGGAGTAACAGACGGTTTACTGTGGGGCCCTGAGAGAATAGTATTATTCTAAGGCCCTGGGAGGGTAACTGTACTGAGGAGAAAAGTTAAGAGCCGTGAAGTAAAAAGTGATGGAATGTAGATGGTTTTTTGCTTTTCTTCTCTTTTCTTCTTTTCCTTTCCTTTTTCCTTCCATCTTTCCTCCCTCCCTCCCTTCCTTTCTTCCTTCTTTCACAACGAAGAAAGGAAGAGAGTCATGAGAGACACAAACAGGGACGTGGGGTGATGACAGAGGTAGCAGGATGTAGTTGAAAAAGCTTTGGGCTAAGATTCAGGAAAGCCTGCTTTCCAGTCCCAGTTATACCTGGGAACTGAGTGAACTTAGGAAGCTTCAGCAAATCTCATGCCTGCTGTGGACCTCAGTTTCCGTGTCAGGAAAAGGAGAGGGAACAACTGGGAGGTCTGTTTGGTCCCTTCCAGCTTCCACTATGATTCTAAGAAAGAGAGAAATAGAAAAGTAGAAGGGCTTGTAGGGCTGAGGGTTTCAGAATCTTCTCCGAATAAGCTAGTCGTGACTACTTTATTTCTGTTTACTACATTATTTCTACTTACTACAGTATTTTCTGGGCAGGAGCAACCTGCACTACCTCAGAGGAATTCTGTAGGACTTCCCTCCTTCCGTGGGGGATGCAGACCACATGGCTTAAATCCAAGGTGATGCTGTGGCTTCCCAGTCAGGGTCCTCTTCAGATGTCTTCCCTGACTATTGCCTACCACTCTTTCCTTTCTCACTACTCCAGCGTCACTGACCTTGTTGCTGTTCTTGAACGTTCCAAGCCCATTTTCACCTCAGGAGCCTCTGCACTTCAGAGCCTTTGCACTTTCTATTGCTCCTACTTGGAAGCTCTGTCCCCTAGGTAGCTACATACCCTGCTCCCTCTTGTTATTCAGCCTTTCCTGGTCACCCAATTTAAATGTCAACCTCACCCTTCTACCTTTTACTATGTGTTTAACCTCCTTTATTTTTAATATTTTTTCTGAAGCACTGATCACTTCCTGGCCTATGGTATATTTGTTGATTTGTTGTGAGCAGGAACTTTGTTGTCTTCTATATTCTCAGTGCCAAGAACAGGGTCAGTAAATATTTGTTGAATAATTGAAAGAATAAATAAATAAGACAGTATTGCTGTTTCCTATATAATTACCACAAACTGTGTATATATTTAATAATCCATATTTTATGTAGTATCTTTTGACAGGGAGAAATACTTTCTAACATGCGAATTTGCATTTTGGAAAAGATGTCCCATTTTTGTAGTTCCTACAGATTTTTTTTTTTTTGAGGAAGATTAGCCCTGAGCTAACATCTGCCACCAATCCTCCTCTTTTTGCTGAGGAAGACTGGCCCTGAGCTAACATCCGTGCCCATCTTCCTCTACTTTATATGTAGGACGCCTACCACAGCGCTTGCCAAGTGCTGCCACGTCCACACCCAGGATCTGAACTGGTGAACCCTGGGCCGCCCAAGCGGAACATGTGCACTTAACTGCTGTGCCACTGGGCCGGCCCCCAGAATTATTTTTAAAACAGTGCTTATAGTAGCATTTAAGAGGATTTGAAAAACCAGCCAGATGACTAAGTGGCTTCTCATAAAAGACTTGTAAACATCTTATATCTGGATAGTGAAATATTTTTATACAAAATCCTACTTTAAAATTTAAAAATATATAAAATTAATTAATTTGTTATGAATTTAATATAAAATATAATTTAACAAAATATATAATTTAAAATTGCTAATTGTAATATTTTAGCCAAATTAAAAAAGTGATATGTTAAAAATGGAATATATAGGGAATGGTTCTATGAGTGTGTTACAAACATAGCCTCACTTAATATTTCGTATCTAATTCAATTCCTTTTCTTAATTTTTAGGAAATTCAGCAATTGGAATTTTGAAATATAAAGACAAGTATTACACTTTCAATTCCAGAGATGCTGCATATTCCTTTGCAGAAAATCCTGAAAATTACATTAATTTAATTACAGAAAAAGCCAAAAAAAATGCAGAGTTAATTCAGCTACTGGAACTTCATCAACAGTTTGAAACCCTCATTCCATATTCTCAGGTAAGCAGGGTCAGTATTTTAAGAATATATGACATTTAAAAGGATAATTAACTAAAGTTGTGTTTTGTTGTTGAATGGTTCCCAAGTCCAGGCAAAGACAGGGTCAGCTGAGGCCTTTACAGGTTATCTGAAGGGGATTCACATCTGAAGATGGAAACTAATGAAATCCACAAAGAATAACGAAAACAACATAGGGAGTCAAATTGACAAATTAGGCTGGAAAAACCTGAATGAGAAAGACTACATTTAGATAAGTCATTGAAACTACAGTATTTCCTTATCTAAGATTGAAGGAGCGCAGCACAGACAACATAGGTGATAACTTTCTTATACTAGGAGTTGTTAAATAATTTAACAGGTTTAAATTGCAGTGGTCTGAAAGGCCTCAGAAAAGATCTGAAGGTGTGTTTCTTTGTATGTCAGTGCCTGTTCTTTAATTCATTCAGCAAATATTTACTGAGCCAATTCCTGTGTGCCAGGCACCATTCTTGGCACACGAGATTAGCAGTGAACAAAATAGATAAAAATCCCTGCTTGCATGGGGCTCACGTTCTACTGCTGTATATTCTTTTCGTTTTCCCTCTCTTTGTCTCTCATTTTTCTTGTTCACCTTTTAATTGCTCTTTCTGTCTCTTCTCTCTCGTTCAGTTCCTGTCTTTCAAACTCACTAAAATAGAAACCTAAAATACATAGTTTAAATGTTTTGTGTTTGTTACTTTTACCAACATTTTGACCATGAAGCAGGTGGGTTTGAGTATGACTGACCAGGTTGACAGGGATCCAAGCAGTGACTGATAAGAGGACGGTCTGGCTGGTGACAGGGAGGCATAGATGGTAGTCTGAATGCTTGGGCAAGAAGACTGGGATCAAGCTCAGGACAGAGTGGTTGGAGGGGTCAGCTGTGGTGGTCAGTACCCTGGACAGCTCAGGTGGCGCTCTTGTTCTCACATGGTGCTACCAGTCTGCTGATGTGACACTCCAGCTGTCCTTTTGGATGAGACAGTTCTCCAGAGTTTCCCCCTGTTGTAAAGAGAGATTAGTCTGTTTGGTATCCTTCTGTATGTGGGCCAATGGTAGGCCTAGAATTTTGGGCTCAAAAGGTTACTGTCAAAATGATTGGACCAGTTTAACTCCAGTCCTTGAGACCTGTCACTTACTCATAATCCTGCTAGCACTTGCTCTTACCTGTGTTTATAATTTTTGCCAATGTGATGAATTTAAAATGGTATCTCATTATTGTTTTAGTGTGCATTTTTCTGAGAATGAAGTTCACCATCTCTTCTTACATCAGTTACTCATTCCGGTTTCGCTTTCTATACATTGGCTACTCATAACTTTTGCCAGTATTTTTTCCCGTACTGCTCTTTCTGTCTTTAACTGTTGATTGGCAGGTGTTTCTTGTCTTGTCTATTGTAAGTGTTAATCCTTTATCAGTTATAAAATTTGCAAATGTCTTTTCCCAGTCTGTCACCTCTCGGTCAGCTTTGGCAGTTGAGTCCTTCATTGAAGATACGTCTTTCATTTTAATGTAGTCAAATCTATTAATTTTTCCCTTTAAAGATTGTGCATTAGAAAGTCTTGTTTTAGAAATCCTTCACTGTCTTAAGGTTATCCATTTACATTTTCTTTTGTTTTAATTTATTATTCACATTTAAGTCTTCAGTCCATTGGAGATAATAAGGAGTTTTAATTTTATTTCTTATGTAGTGAGCCAGTTTTCCCAACACTGTTTACTAATATATGATTTTCCTACTAAATATGATGCCACCCCCATTGTGTTAACAATTCTCATATGAAATGTGTTTGTTTCTAGGCTCTCAATTCTGTTCTACTGACGTATTTGTCTATCTCTATACTGACACCATATTGTTCAAATTACTATTGCTTTGTAATACATTCTATTATCTGATAGAGCAAGCCCTTCCCTTTGCCTTTTCCTTTTTCAAAATTGTCTTAGGTATTCATGCTTGAATCTTTGTATGTCCATGGAAATTTCTTAATGAATTTGCCAAATTACCCAAAGATCTTCCTGAGATTTTAACTGGATTGCATTAAAATAATAAAATAGTTTCTGGGGGGAATTTATGTGTTTATTACATTAGATTGTCCCATCCATAAAAAGTACCATTTGCTTACTTTATTTTTGCCATTAGTAGTTTCATTAATTATGCCTTAATAAAACATAATGGTTTTAGTTATATTTTATATTCTGCCTACTTCTAAAACAGTATGTGAGATAACTTTTTTAAAAAGCACTTATACATCAATTCTGATAAAACAAAACTAAAGGCTAAAAAGAAAAAACTACATGGGAAAATATGTCCCACTCATTTTAAATAAATAACTGGAACTTTTAATTATAATACAGCAAAGGGTATAGAGGATGCATCACTGCATAAAAATAACAAAAACAAATACCTGTGTGTTTATCTCTTATAAAAAGAAAATTCTCTCTCAGTGCTCCCCCTGGACCCTTTTCCAATCTCATTCTTTTCTCTTCCCCACTGCAGTAACTACTTTATGAATTCGGTGTTATTCATCCCTTGCCATTTTAGTTTTGCCATTCATGTATGTATTCCTGAACAATGTGTTCCTGTGAAATGACTATGTCTTTTGCCCAATTTTCTACTGGATTATATGTCTTTTTCTTATTGATTTGTAGGAGGTGTTTTTTCAAAAGCACATTTTTGATACTAATTCTTTGTCAGATATATGTTTTGTATACACGTTCCCCCAGTTTGTGACTTATCTTTTCATTCTTTTTGTGCTGTCTTACAAATGAAAATTTTTCATTGTAATGTGTAATTTATCATTCTTTTTCTTCATGTCTTGAACTTTTATGTCTTCTTTAAGAAATTCTCATGAACCCTTGATCATAAAAATATTCTCCTACATTGTTTTTTTAAAAAAAATATGGATTTACCTTTCAAACTAGTTTTTAGTCCGCTTGGATTTGATTTCTGTGTCTGGTGGGAGTGAAGATCCAGTTTTCACTTTTTCCCATGTGAGCAGTAATTGTCCCAGACCATCTGCTCAATAATCTCTCCTTTCTCCACTGAGCTACAGTGTCTTATATGCACGGGCTTACTTTTCAGGCTCTCTATTCTGTTCAATTATTCAATTTTTTAAAAATTCTATATATCTTACTATATAAGATAGTATTATAGTATATACTGTATAATCCTAGATCTTGCTATGGCTTTATAATAAGTCTTTATATCCAGTAGAGTAAGTTCCCCCACCCTTTCTTCTCTAAAGAATTTTGGCTATACTTGACTCTTGACTTTCCATATAAATTTGAGAATTACGTTGTCACGTACCATAAAAAACCTTGAAGGAATTATGACTTTTCATGTCTATAGACAAGAATTATTTGGCCTTGCTACCACTTACATGTAATTTACAGAGTTGTAAGAGAGTTCAAAGACAATGAAAGGATAAAATCAGATAACCAGAAAGGTGTGCCGTATGTAGACAATGCATAGTTTTCCATTAGAGAACAATTTCCCCCTATATATCTGGTCTTCTTTTTCCCTTTCTTTCTGTGTAATCTTCAACTCTTCTTCAGTGACCTTCAATACCTCTGAAGGCGAGTTTTGTTCCTCCATATTTCAGTGCTACAGTCCTTATAATTATTTACTTGCTATTTACGTGTATAATATTGTTAATTATCCTTTCCCCATGTTTTTATCTACCCAACTATATCATAAGACCATTCTGAAAGCAACAAGTATATCTTATGTTAAATGGTAGGCACTCACTGATGATCTGTTGCTTGATTTGGGGAAAGAAGTTAATTTCTTCTCCTTCCTCTTTACTATGACCCAAGTTCCTTAAACCTCTACCACCCCACCAGCAACTTCCTATTCAGCATAATCATATCTTGTTTTGTCTGGAATTACTGAATACTTAATATTTGAATAGTGGGCTTCTGGGTGCTGTGGCAGAAAATCAACATATTCAACTAAAACAAAACCACCTTGGATGATAATCTGCTATGTATGCATAGTTTGGGTTTAAGACGTATCCTAAAGATGTTCTAATACTTTAAACAAATGTGATTTATACCTAATATTTAATAGCTACTTTAAACTTCTGTCTGTTTCCAACAAAATATTCACTTACCCTACCAATTGTGAAAATTGGAGAGGGGCATTCCACCTGGGAATGACTGATGTTAGCTTTTCCCTTTCCAAAATATGCCTCCTGCACTAACTTCACAAAGTCAGGGACTAACCCATAATGCCCAGGAAAATAATGACATTTAGCTCACCAAGTATGAGCTTATTTTCTCTGCTACTATTTATAGGTGTATTCCATGTTCAAAAGTTCTTGTTTGTTTAATCTTTTGACAGTTTAGCTAAATATTTTAGTTTAATTTTTATTTTTTACAAATATTAATTGCAAAACTCCATTTGTTTAGGTGAAAGATGTTGACAAACATATAAAACCAATTACAAAGTGTGAAAGTGGCACACAGACGGATACACACATATTGCCACCAACAATTGTGAGATCATATGAGTGGAATGAATGGGAATTAAGAAGAAAAGCTATAAAATTGGTTTGTAACAATATTTCCTAAAATTATTTATAGGATGGGAAATTTTAATGTGTTGTTACTCATAGAGTTGGTAAGTTATTTATATAAAATATTGGTTGTTCAGAGTTCTTTGCTAATATAAAAATAATTAGCATAATTTATAATTTGCCAGCTTTACATTGTAAGATCTTCTAATTTTAAGCGTATGTAGAAATACAGAAGCATGAAACTGTTCTCAAATTACACCAGCCAGTAACTAGAACAATGATAGTTGCACGCTATTGATCTATATAATAGTTTATCATCTATATAATCTATCTATATATCTATATATATAATAGTATATTGATCTATATAATAGTTTTAATCTACTGTGCTAATCTAAGAGGTGCTAGTATTTAGAGCACTCCTAACTATTTCTAATCATTTAAAGTATACCTTTGGTTTTTTGGACTTCTTTTGAGGAACAGAATGTTATCTTTGTTGTATCACAGATATTGTCCCCTCTTATTGTCAACATGTTCTCTCCAGACACTGGGATCTCTTGGCCTTCTGATTCTCAGTCACCTTAATCATAATCAGTGCCTACCCTTAGAGCCTATCTTTGAAACTGTGATCCCTGTCGACTCAGTGAAATTCCCCCCACTTACCCTTTTTATAGTATCTTGTCATTTTAAACAACAAACATTTATAGTATGAAGGAAACAAACTCTTTTTATATCTGTAGCCTTTTCTTGGTATGTTTTATCCGTCTCTTTAACTGAGATCAGGTGTGAAAATAAACAAAGGCTACCCAAATGAGAACAGAGGCTATTTATTCAAAGCTTGCTATAGCAAGGGTCAGCCACCGTCACTTGGGTTTGGCGGAGACTCAAAGGCAGGCGGGGGAGTGAGAAAGCTTTATAGTGAAAAGGGGAAGGCTTCAGGCGTTCTCTGATGGGAGGCTGTTGACGAGGGAATACGGGAGGTGGGCTGACTTGAAATGGGGCATCTTATGCGATTGATTTGGTGAACACAGTTGACTTTCTCTGGTTGGTGCTCAGTTGCAAGGTGGGGGCAGCAGAAAAATAGGGAAGGTGGCCCATTCCTGACTGTTCTGGGCTGATTGCTACAGCTACAGAGGTTGTGGATCAGAATTCTGTAGTCATATAAGGTCTGGCCTTTGTCCATTTGTATATTCAGTCTCTCACAGGCTCTCACTAGCCACATCATTTCCCTTGCGATCCTCCCTGGTGGCAGCTTTTTAGTTCTCTGATTTCCTGAGATGAGGAAGGTTCAGCTTCCTGGTATATGTTCCAGATCATTGGTCCATTAGCATTCCAATCAGTTACTCTTCTGTAGTTCATGGAGCTCCCTCCCCATATTCTTTTCTATTATCTACTAAACTCACTTGAGCTCATCAGATAACATATATATCCCACCACAGTCATGTGCTGCATAATGATGTTTCGGTCAATGATGGACCACATATACAACAGTGGTCCTATGAGATTATAGCGGAAACAAAAAATTCCTATTGCCTAGTGATGTCATAGCCATTTGTAATATCCTGGTGCAACACGTTACTCGTGTGTTTATGGTGATGCTGGTGTAAATAAGCCTTCGAGTTCTTCAGGAGGTATTCCAGAAGAAGGCATTGTTATCAAAGGAGATCACAGCTCCATGGGTGGTATTGCCCCTGAAGACCTTCCTGTGGGACAAGATATAGAGGAGGAAGACAGTGATATTGATGATCCTGACCCTGTGCAGGCCTAGGCTAATGTGTGTGTTTGTGTCTTAAGTTTTACCAAAAAAATTTTTTAAAAGTTTAAAAGTAAAAAAGAAAGATTTTAAAAATAGAAAAAGCTCACAGAATAAGGATAGAAAGAAAGAAAATATTTTGGTACACTGTACAATGTGTTTGTGTTTTAAGCTAAGTATTATTCAAAAGAGTCAAAAGTTAAAAAAAATCTGAACGTTTATAAACTAAAAAATTACAGTAAGCTAAGGTTAATTTATTGTTGAAGAAAGAGAAATATGTTTATAAATTTAGTGTAGCCTAAGTGTGCAGTGTTTCTCAAGTCTACAGTAGTGCACAGTGATGTCCGAGGCCTTCACATTCACTCACCACTCACTCACTAACTCACCCAGAGCAACTGCCAGTCCTGCAAGCTCCATTCATGGTAAGTGTCCTATACAGGTGTACTGTTTTTTCAATCTTTTATACTATATTTTTACTGTATCTTTTCTATGTTAAGATACACAAATACCTACCACTGTGTTAAAGTTGCCTACAGTACTTAGTACAGTAACATGCTGTACAGGTTTGTAGCCTAGGAGCAATAGCCATATAGCCTAAGTGTGTAGGCTATACCATCTAGGTTTGTGTAAGTACAGTCTGTGATGGTCGCACAATGACGAAATTGCCTAACGACGCATTTCTTAGAATGTACCCCTGTCATTAAGCAACACATGACTGATACTTTGTTCTTCAGGAATTAAGAGTCTAGCAAGTGACATCGATATACTAAAAATATTTCAGTACCTCTTGGTAAGTGGTACATAGCAGAAGCAAAATAAAAATTCTACTCAATTGACTTAGGTGATATTTTAAGTTGCTCTTGAGATACAAATAGGCAGAGGAGAAGAGGGAGTGATGGATGGACAGGATACGAGAGGGGAAGGCGACGGCATCCGTCTGGACTGGAAATGTTAGGAGAGTGGGGTATTCAGTGGGGCTGCACTTCACACCGACCGAATTGTCTTTTCTTCTTCCTCAACCTTCACTTCATTCTGATTCCCACCTGAGACTTAATGATCCCCTATAACTGCATCATGTTGAAAGCCAACTCCCCATATGTTACCAACATAACGTGCTGATGAGACAAGCTGAGTATATTGCTTAAAGTCGTTGGGGGAACCACCACCTCAGCAGAGATTTGAACGTGTCTCAGAGGAGGAACAGCAAGTCAGAATTTATGGAGAATTTGAAGTTTCGTTGAAGGCAGGTCTTTCAATGCCAGGGGTAGGTAGGAGGGTGGGAAGGGGGCTTGAAGTGGGTTGGGAAAAAATCATGAAAAAGCAGTCCAGCATTGATAGGGATAACAAGGTGAAGATTTAGGAGGCTAGGGATGCAAAGAATGTTAGGGCCTAAGCTTTGTGTTGATGCCTACTACTGAAGAGGTGATGCATCTTTTAGGATGTTCTGTAATGAATGCTTAAGTTATTTGCTTCGGCAAGAGTCTCTTGGAAGGGTAAAATTATGCTATGAAGACAACGGAGTAGTAAAGTCCTGTCAATGTAGACAGTAAGCTGCGTGTAGGGGAAGTAGTTTTGGTTCTTAATCACCTGCAGTATCTCAAAACCTGAAATGTTTCCTCGAATTTCAGGTCTCTTCCTCTTCACTCACATGCTCCAGTGCCTTCTGAGTTTTTTTCTTGGACTTCACCATAACTTCAGTAACTCCTCCTCTCTTTTTATGAGCTCCTCCTTGCTTCCCAGCCTGAGTAATCTGTTTAACTTCATGTTTACAAGTAATCCATAAAAGGAGTCAACAAAATGTAGAATAATGTAAAATATAATCTGAAAACATAAGAACTTTTTATTTTAAAAGTTTTGGGTGAAGCTCATTTGAAAAAGACAATGGAAATCTTAAATTTTTTTCTTTTTAAAAGACAAACCAAATATGGTTGAAAAATCCAAGTTGTATGAATCTCAAAGTATAACAATGAAGGAATTAGCAGATTAGATTAACAAATAATTGAGCTCACTAAATCTGAATCTATATGTTCTTTCTTTGGGTCCATTTTCAGAATTTTATATATTTTCCTCCTTGGCAAAGGATATTTATTTTCTATTATGTTCTAGATTTTCTAACGTTCTAATGGTTTATGCTATGCTGTAGGTCTAATTTATTTGTGGATTGAGAAAAAAGGTTAAGCAGATATGATTTGTTCTTTTGAAAAATAATTCCTGTGTATTCTCTTTCTACTTAGGCCAATTTGCGTCAGAAAGTTACTCACTCAGTACAAACTGACCTTAGTCACATGAGAAGAGAAAATGGTTCGCAGGTGTACTCATCGAAGGATGCCAGCACGCAGTCCATGAAGGAGGGCAGCACCAGGGTGCCCAGGCCCCAGGTTTACATAGCTGGTCTCAGAGGGGGCCGGGCTAAAACCACCTGTGGAGTCAAGGTGAACTTAACTAGAGCTATTGATGAAACCTAATTTGAGGCTAATATTTTTTAACCTAATATTTTTTAAAGTAGATACCACCACATTATGAACAATGGCAAATAGTTAAAAGTATCTTTGCATCCATGAAAATGTTAACTTTGTGGTGCTGGCACATTCATTGGTTGTGTGTTTCTTGGATTCTCACTGATATTCACTGTCAAACTGCTACAAAAAACTAAAAATTGTTTTCTGTAACACATTTTCCATTCTATTAAAATTGAAAAATAAAACTCTGTCCATTCATCTTTTATTTGTTAGAAAAAATTGACAGCATCAAGACTGAAATTATGATGCTATCTGGAAATTTTACATAAAATATGGATTTTTGCCCCTTGAAAAAATCAGAATACCTGGCAACACTTGGCCAGTAGTAGCTGTGCGCTTTAATAGACAGGCACTCCCAGTTCCAAGTCCTGCTGCCTTACAGACCTCCCCCTCCGCTTCTTCGCCTTATTTACCTGACCCCGTAGGCAGTTGTGTTTAGGGCCCTTGTGAATGCCTGATAGCTAAATTTTAGAGCTTACATACTTCTAATACCAACTCATAGATAATAAAGGCTCCAAGATGGAGAGGCTGTTAAACCTGCTTTAATAGCTGGGGGTCATTTATATTTAGCATATTTTTTCTGCCTAGGTGACTTTTACTAAGGTGTTTGTATAATTTGTCTTCTATGTAGGTTAAATGTTATTTATAATATGAATATGTTTCAAAACCCACTTTCCACAGATTTTATAAAGGTAAACATCAAACACACCTACTTCTAAGTTTTCATGATTTTCACACCTGTAGTTTAAAAGGATGTTAAAGATAGGCTGGCTGGCTGTTGAGGCAGGACAGGGAGCTGTACCTGAAGGAGAGGGGATGGTTAGAGCTAATACTAAAGTTTGCAAGATTCACGAATTTGATTTTATCTGTTCTATCAACCCTCATTTGATTCTGCAAGATTCCTAAACACAGAGAAGAATGACTCATAAGCCACAATTTGGGGTTATCAAGTTAAGGCTGAAAGTAAAATTGCCAAGTGAGGGCTGGCCCTGTGGCCGAGTGGTTAAGTTCGCGCGCTCCACTGCAAGCGGCCCAGTGTTTCGTTGGTTCGAATCCTGGGCGCGGACATGGCACTGCTCATCAAACCATGCTGAGGTAGCGTCCCACATGCCACAACTAGAATGACCCACAACGAAGAATATACAACTATGTACTGGGGGGCTTTGGGGAGAAAAAGGAAAAAATAAAATCTTTAAAAAAAAAGAATTGCCAAGTGAATGAAATACCAAATCCAACTTGAGAAGCTAAACTTAATATCAGAAAGTCACCTGGTAAGTACAAGAGAATCAGAGTGAAGGGACCTGGATCAAATGGTAAACTCATCCTCTCCCAGGACCTCCACCCTCTACCCAAGCCCCATGCTCTCTAAAGATTTCCAAGCACATGCTGAACCCAGTGTCGGAGGTCACCCCCATTTCAGCAGGTCACAGGCTGAACTCATTTTCTTTGCCAAACTTGTTTCTCCTTCTGAATATCCTTCTGTGGTCAGAGGCATCAACACCTACCCAGTAGCATAAATTAAAAACTTCTTTATTGTTTTTGTCTCACGGCCCTTACATTTAACGAGTCATTAAGCCCTGTTGATCTGGCTTGACTCATCTTTGGGATCCTGTCTTCCTACTCTCACCGCCACTGCTGGAGTTTAGGACTTAGTCCTATTACCTGACTTATCAGCATGATTTTTCTAACAAGTAAATCTGACCACGTCATCTGCCCCCTCCCCCAAACCTTCACTTCCCTTTGCTTAAAAACCAACAACTCTTTCCCGTTACCCAGGGGATCAAATAAAACCTCCACATATTATGTAAGACTTTTCAAAATATATCTATTTTTATCTTCCAGTTTCATTTTCTGCCCCTCTCATGCTCTCTATACACACTGTACATATTAGGCAAATTGAACCAGAACTCTTCAAATATGTCCTGGTCTTTAATACCACCACTTTCTGCTGTTGCTTTTCACTCTGTCACCTGGAATGTACTTCACAGACACTCCCATGAAATTCTGTTTGTCTTCAAACAGGCTGATCAGGTTTTACCTTTTCAGGGAAAATTTTCCCTGTCACTTCTGAGAGAATTAATTTCTTCTTCCTTTGGATTTTGACTGGATTCCATTTATACTCGTATTATAGCACTTAAAGTAAATAGATGTGTATGTGTTTGTCTATATTCTTCCTGTTAGATTGTGAATTTCTTGAGATTTGAGCTGTGTGTTAGTCATTTTCATATCCCTGACATTTGTATAGTTTCTTGTTGTATGAATGAATGAAAAAAAAAACAGGAATGAATGAAAGGACAAACTGGAAGCAAGGCATTGGTCAAGTGATTATTTTACCAGTTAAGGGGGGAGTTGAAAAGAGTTGAACATCAAAATAGCTATTGGAAAAGAAGAGAGAGAAAAACAGAGAGGGAAATGGAGATTATTTTGGGGGAAGTGGTGGTAAATAAAACTGGATAAGCAGGGTTTGTGTAGCTTTTGTAGGACTTTGAAAGCCAGGCAGAGGACTATGTTGCTTTCCATAGTAGGACATTAGGAAACCACTGCAGATTCTTGAAAGAAGATGAATTGTGGGAGAGGGATTCTGGAGTGGGGAAGGTGGCTAGGAAGCTGTTGCAAGAACTAGGGCATGTGGTAATGGATAACATGATAAGGCAAAGGTGAGATTTAATGAAGGGGATCTCACATCTCAGGAAGGGAAAGTATGACCTTAGGGTTTCTACCCTAGGAGACCAAGGATAACTGGGAAGAGGAACTGTTTGGTCAAAAAAGATAACGTGTTCGGTACTAGAAAATTTGGGTTTAAGGGATGACAAAAATAGTAAGGCAGAGCCCGAATTTGAGCTGGATAGAGATAATTTGGGAGTTCAGCTCCAAGGGAATGGGGATGAAATGAGGAGGAAGAGACGAAATAAGATGGAGGAGCAGTCAGAAGAGTAGAAAAAGACATAAAGGAATCTCTGTTGTCATGGAAGTAAAGTCTAGGGCTGCTACTTACTAGCCGTTACTTAATATCTCTCTGCTGCAGTCTCTTCATCATAAAAGTTGGGATGATAATAGTTCCCAACTCATTGGGTTGTCAAGAGGATTAAATGGGTTACCACACATAAAGCATTTATATGGAAGAGCTTTGTCAATGTCAGCCAAGGGACGAGAGAGTCTCCGATGTCTCATTCTACCGCACTCCCATCCTCATTTTTCCCACTTTCTATTTTCTAGCTCTCAGTTAGTGCCTAGAATAATGCTTAGCACATTATGGCTCTTAATAAATGTCTGATGAATGAACAAACGAGGATGAGGAAGGAGAAAAGGTCAATGGAGCAGGCAACTGCTGAGCTCTGTTTCAACAGAGTTGGCTTGAGTAGAAATAAGATTGCAGCAAATTAAGCAGAAAATCGTAGAAATAAGTACAGACTACATTTCAGGGACTGTTTGGCAGGAAAAGGAAAATGAGATTATGGTAACTAAAAAAGGAAACAGAGGCAAGGGAGAGTTAAGCCCAAATAAGAAATGTTTAGATATTGATGATGATTACTCATATTTACCTCTCCTAGTGAAGATATTCAATTTTACATCATCTCCTTGTGTTTTTTTATCTTCTCGGTTATAAAATGCAACAATTCTTCTGGCTTGTCTTTAGTAATATTACACCATAGGAAACAGTTCTTTTAAAATAACAATAACCTAGCAAATTGGTTTTGGATATTTAATAGCAGAATGAGAGTAAAATGCTTAAACTGTCAGGGAAACAATTGTGTTTAGGTATCTGCATTTATCTCCATGTTCTCATGGTTAATGGTTGACTATACTTTAAACTTTAGCACTTTTAATAATCTGTTCTATAGCTACCATATTTGATTTTAACTATAACCCCGTTAAGCCTTTTAGTATTTGCTTACTGCACAGGCTTTTTGTTTGATTCAGTTCACACTTTTACTTTATTACCATTGGATAAAGTACTGGGCTTCCTTTTATACAATTCGCTGAGACTAGGGTAGCTCTGATGCTTGAGAAGAGATAGAAAGGAGCAGGGCAAATACTGCAGCTTGAGAGTGACAATCAGGAATATCAGTAGGGTCTCAAATGGCAACAGCAGTAGCTGCCTGAGGCACTGTAAGGTTAGCTCATTATCAGGCAAAGGACCTTGTGGTCCACATGTTGAAGATTGCTGCTGCTTGCACTAACCAGGGTTGTACAGAAAGCTGGGCATAAATAAAAGAAACACATCAAGCCAAGAGTTTTTCCTCCAAGATTTAGGATAATTCAGAATGAGAAAGTAAAAATTAGCTCGAACTAAGAATCTAAATATCTGCTTGGCCATTCATTCAGCTGGGATAACAAACAGAATTGCCAGCTGCAAAGTTAACAGGAAATATTTCTCCCAAGGATATGCTGCAGCTGTAAAGTATAACAACCACCCCTCTTTTGAGTGTCTAATTTATAACTCACTGAAAAATTTTGTTCTCTAAGTCATACACTATTTAGGAAACTTGCTGTTGAAATTCTATCAGTAAGAGTGAAACACCCCACTCTTACTGGGAGGATTTAAGTCACTTTGACACAAAGAAGCAGCCCCAATTTCCAACCTACGTGCAATCTTCATTTAAGGGGCTCCTGAATACAACAGTCCACATCTATAATAACTTTATAGTTTCCAAGAAACAGGATCCTGAGACTATTGTGCAGTCCAGATCTGATGGCGACTTCTTTACTCACAGCCCTGCTTTGAGTCTCTCAAAACACTGCTTCCTTTAAATTTCACCTGAGTCTGTCCTTCCCCCAATTCTATAACTCTTTATTTTCCTTTGTATCCTAAGATATCCCTGTTCCTCTGGTGTGTATTTTCCCTCACTGAAATGGGTCAATAATCCTGACTCTGACTATAGGTTTGTCCCTGGCAATCAAGTTGGGCTGATCAAGTTAGGACAAGAGGCATCAAAATCTAGTTAAGCTTCATGCCAAGAGAGTAGAAAGTCTTTGTGGACAACGAAAATTTATAAGAAAAGTAGAGTTCATCAGCATGATATGTTATGTGAACCAGAAATGCCACAAAAATGGCCCAGCAGAATTTCACCCACCACCATAATTGTGATTAGTTCGTGTGTGTGTGTGTGTGTGTGTGTGTGTGTGTAATACTATCCTCCACCAGAAGGAACCAAAGTTCCTTGAATTATAGTTGATTCCTCAACCTAG